GGCCACTGAGGGCTATTAGTCTCCTGGGTTGCTGTAGCAAAGCACCCTGGACTGGGTGGCTGACAATAATGGAGATTCATTCTCTTACAGCTTTGGAGGCTGGAAGTGTGCAATGAAGATGTTGGCAGGTCATACTTCCTCTAAAAGCCCTAGAGAAGAATCTTTCCTTGCCTCTTCCAGCTTCTCATGGTTGCCAGCAATTCTTTGATTCATGGTTGCATAACTTCAACCTAAACCCAATGAGTAGTGTGTTTACATGGACTTCTAATAAGGACACCAGTCATTGGATTTAGGGTGCACTCTAATCCAGTATGACTTCATCTTAACTAGTTACATTGGCAAAGATGCTATTTCCAAATAAGGCCACCTTCTGAAATTCCAGATGGACATGGATTTTGTTTTTTTTTTAATTGTGATTTGGGTGAAAATTTACAGAGCAAATTCACTTTCCATACAAAAGTTCACATACACTTTGTCTCATGACATTGACCACAATTTACCACAATGCAACAGCTCCCCTCCCACCTCCTCGCCATAGTTACCTCTTCCCTGTGTCCATCCCACCATGTAATCCTGCCCCCTGAGCTGTCTCCCTGTGCATAAGCAGGCCTTCTTTCTCCCATGATTGTTCTCTCCAAGAAGTGTATCTACCTCAGTAAATGTTCAACTCGTATGCCTGTCTTTTGTTTGCCTGGAAGTCACAGGTGTGCGTTCAATTCCAGACCTGAAGGGCAGCTAGGGGCCATAGTCTCAGTGGTTCCACCAGGCTCTATTGGACCAGCAAACCTGGTCCCCCACTTTTTTTTTTCTCCAAATGATTTTGAGTTTTGTTTCACATTGTTCTCCCTCTCTATTCAGGATCTCCTACATATATCCCCTCCCAAGTGGTTGACAGTGGTAGCCGAGCACCATCTAGTTCTTCTGGTCTCATAGTCATATAGGCTGCAGATCAGATGGTGTACCAGTTGCTAGGACTAATTGTTTCCAAGAATTTTTGGTTTTCTTCATTCTTCTTTGCTCTGGACAAGGAGAGACCCATCGTTGCATCTAGATGGCAGCTTGCAAGCTTTTAAGATCCCAGTCACTACTCACCAAAGTAGGAGGTGGAACAACATTTTGTGTAGTACGTTATGCCAATTGAGCTTGACCAGATGGACATGGATTTTGAGGGACACCACTTGACCCAATACAGTGGGCTTTGCCTACGGGATCTCATGGTTCTCCTCTTAACTCCTATGGGATCCATTTGTATTATCCTCTCTACAGAAGAGAAGCCTTTACATAGAGTGGATAGTTTGGCCAGGTGGCAGAGCTGGGATCTGAACTCAGGTCTTATGAGTCTGCATCTTATATTGTCTATCTAGTTCATTTCTTGACCAGCCCTGAGTGAAGGCAGAGGAGGCTAGTGTGGTCAGGAGATTAAAATGAGAAACAAAAACTTCTTGGGACCAGACATTTAAGATACTCTCCTTGGGGTGCATGGGAATAGTTGTGATGACAGGTTGGACTGCCCAAGCAATCAATGAGTGGGTGGTGAGATATGGAAAAGGGGTTTTAGTATAGAGAATCTGGGCATCTATTGCATATGGGTCTTCTACCAATAAGGGTGCCTCTGTCTTTTCCATACAGCCTATAGGAAGGCAGGGGCTGTTGAAGACCAGGGATCTGAGTGAAGCAGGAAGCTGGTGGGAAGAGAACAGTCTGTCTTTGGTGGGGAAAAACACAGTCTGATATTGTAGGGTCAAAGGGAGGTGAAAAAGGAGTATTTAGTAAGAATAGGGTGTCCTTGGGTGGTGCAAATGGTTAATGTGATTGTCTGCTAACTGAAAAGTTGAAAGTCCAAGTCCACGCAGAAGCGCCTTGGAAGAAAGGCCTTTGGCAATGTACTTCCAAAAAAATCAGTCAGAGTTCTACCCTGACATGCATGGGGTTGGTATGAGTCAGGGTCAACTTGAGGCCAACTGGTAAATGGTAATGGTACGAACAGCCTCCCACTCCTATCCTGGTTCTGGTATTTGGCAAGTAAGGCAGCCCTAGAGCAGAGGCCCGGGTATGGCCCAGGAAAGGGGACAGGGTGAGAGCAGCTAGATTAGAGCTCCAGCCTGGAAGGATCTAGAGAGGCCTTGGACTCAGGGTGGAGTGACAGATACCCCTAAGTCCATAGGCAATGCCTCATGAACACTGAACATGTTGGGCTTTCTTCCATTGGCACACCTGTTTCTGTCCTGAGACCTGGAGACATGTGTGAGAGGCCCTGCCTCCCTGAAGCCCAGGGTCAGTGGGAGACAGATGCTGTCCGTGCAATGAGGGAGGGTAGTCGGAAGCAGGAGGTGGTGTCATACGGAGGGGACTGTGTGGAAACAAAGCTACTGCATCCACATGCTGGCCTGGATTTTCCTGGCCAGGCCCAACTCCAAACACTGTCATTGCCCCTCATTTAGGCCAGGCTCCTCAACCTCTTTCAAATAGGATAAAGAAGACACTATTCTCCCTCTGTGGTTCAGGGCTGCCCCTTCCTGCTGCTTGATCTGCGCTTAGCTAGCTCTGAATCTGTGGCTCCACATCCCTTCTCTGCTTCACAAGGAATCTTAGTCTTGGAGTCAGATCAGACTCAGGCTGCAAGGAGAGGCAAATGACCTCGTGCCCCTCCCCTCCTTTCTTACCTGCTCAGGTGTGTTCTGGGGAAGTTAAAATTCCTAGGAACATTTTTAACTACAATTATTGCCTAAACCTTCCTCTCAGGGAGAATAGGGATAGGGGCCAGGCAGCTCACAGGGAGTAGGAAGATGGGACTATCTACTGAGTGCCCTGGTCCCCAGACCTCAGAAGTCCCCATTCATCCAACCAGGACAGTGAAAGATCTCTGCCACCTGGGGAGCTGGCCAGTGATTGTCTTCAAGATTATGCTAAGGAAGGACAGAGAGAGAGAGAGAGAGAAAATCATGGGAAGTCCTCTTGGCCCAGCTGCTCATCAGAGTCACATGGGACATATTAATAATGCTGATGTCAGTATCTTACTCTAGAGGTTCCAATTTAATTGGTCTAGGAAAGTCTCTGAGTGGTGCAAACACACTTTGGGCTGCTAACTGAAAGACGGAGGGTTTGAGTTCACCCAGAGGCACCGGAAGAAAGGCCTGACAATCTACTTTCAAAAAATTGGTCTTTGAAAACCCTAGGGAGCACAGTTATACTTTGACACACATGGAGTCACCATATGTTGGAGTCAACTCCAAAACAACTGGCTAAGGGCCAGGTACTGGCATTTTCAAAAAATCCCCGCACCCTGCACCCTGCACCCTCATCTTCCCCATGAAATTCTAATGTGCAGCCATGATTTGTAGCCACCACCTCAAGGCTGCTCCCCAGGCTCACTCCTTCATGTAGCCATAATGAAGTGTCCAGGGTCCGTGAGGCTGAAGCCTCAGTCCAAAGACCAAAGGATGGCAATGCTACCAGCTCTGTTAAAAGGATTCATGGACATAAGGATCACATGTGGGAATGACAGGTTTCCTCTCCCTTGTCTCTCTCTCTCACCTCACGCTGAGGTGGAGGCTGCTGATTGGCAGCCTGTGCCCAACCTGGAATGTCCAGCCCCAAAGAGCAAGGAAGCTGGAGAGCAGCCTGCCAATTGGCTGGGGAAGGAACTAGCTAGACAAGTTTCCCTTTCTCTGGCATTGTATAGTACCTTGGAGTTGGAGGGCCCCTGTTCTGCTCCCTATCCACCACCCAGCCCCACTGTCCTCTCACTGGTTGGCTGCTTTCCTGCCAGCTCTGGTGGAGCCAGAAAGCTAACACAAGTCTGGGCAAGGCCGGCAGGAAGCCCCCAAGCAGCTGAACCAGGGTTCTGTTAACCCAGGACTAGTGGGAGTGGCCCCTGCTCTGTCCCAACCTGCCCCACAGGTCAAGTCAGCCAGTGGATGGCCAGTGTGCGCTCACAGGAGAGGACTCTGAGGCACTCCTGAGGAGGAAGTGCCCCTCCTGCCACACCAAGCCCAGGTAACACCCCTTTACCACCCATCACCCCCTCTACTTCCTCTCTCTCATCTGCTCCTCCACCTCCTCCTTTCACTACACACACAAACACATCACACTAATCATGTACACACCACACACACAATCATAGATACCATCCAACTGCCTCACACACACTTATTACCCATACACACACCAGAAGAATCACACCACACACACACAGAGGCATATACACAAACACACACACACACCATACTAGTGGCCCCTATATACAATTGACTCCACAAGATCAGTCCTTCTCTGGAGGGGAGACCAGAGCCACAGCTTTATTCAAACTACACAAGTTGAAGATTAATGGTATAACTGGACACAAAAGATGATATGGTATGGATTCCCAGGATGAGCATTCCACATAGGATCATCACCCACAGTGGAGTACATCCTTTTTTCATCCCAAGAGACTATACAGGAGACTCAGGCATGGAAACCAATGCCACCTGAAAGACATGGCCAATATGGCAACTGGAGGCTGATTGGGGCATTGAATCATCAGTGGAAATTTCCTCTGAACTTTTAGCTCCTGCTGCTTGAGCAAAATAAGCGAGTCCCCACTTTCCTGCCCCAGCTGGAAGTAATGGGTCAAATAACACAGGCTGGAGGAACCCACTGCCCTCACATCCATGCCTCCCTTCACTGGATTCCCTAGGATCCAACAGCCCCTGCTAACTTAAGGGCAATTGGCAGAAGGTAGTGGGAGTCTGGGGAATGGAGGAGGAATTCATTTGGGGAGAGAAATTGGGGTCTGCTAGAGATGCACTTGGGGAAGGTCCTGAAGGAAGTTTCCAAGATAGGGGTCCCTTCCCCACCCACAAACTCAGTGGTACCTCTGCCCACCCTTCCTTCTCCAGGAACCAGTTTTCTATTTCCTCTCAAGGCTAAAGGGGCAGATGGGGAGGGAGTTCAGGTGGAGAAGGGATCCTCCCAGAAGCCCAACTTCACTTCCACCAATGCCCCTTCCTTCTATGTGTCTAAACCTCTGTCTGGGCCCCAGGCTCTACACCACCCAGAATGGACACTGCAGGTTCCTTGCCCTCTAGGAAGGTGATGATGTCCTGCCTTTGGCTCCGGAGAGCCAGCTGCAGGGGTGTGCAGCCCACCCCATCCTGGGTGTCTACCTGGGCACCAGCCTTGACCAGTACTTTTAGGATGGCTATGTTGCCCTTGAGAGCAGCCAGATGGGCAGCTGTCCAGCCCACCCTGTTGCAGGCATGGACATCTGCATGGTGCTCCAGGAGGTTGATGACACTCGAGAAGGCTTCTCTTTGGACTGCCAGGTGGAGTGGTGTCCAGCCGGACTGTTCAGTGGCATTGGGGTCAGCTCCACACTGCAGTAGGGCCAACACCACCACCTCTTCCCCATGGCGGGCTGCCAGGTGCAGGGGGGTCCAGTTCATGCCTCCATGAGCACCCAAGTCTGCGTTGCTCTCTGCCAGCAGGTGGATGATCTCCAGGTGGCCCTTGTAGGCTGCTAGGTGTAGAGGTGTCCAGCCCTGCTGGGTGCGCAGTTCTGTGCTGGCCCTGTACCTAAGCAGCATCTTGCAGATAAGGTACTTGCCCCTGGCAGCTGCTATGTGCAGTGGGCCGTAGCCATTCTGATCGAGGGTATCAGGGGCTGCCCCACTCTTCAGCAGGTGTTGGATAGCCCTCACTTTGCCCTGCTCCACTGCCAGATGCAGTGGTGTCCTCAAGTTTCTCTGCTGAGGATCCAACTCAGCCCCCTGGCCTGTCAGCAGCTTGACCAGGCTGATATGTCCAAGGTAAGCGGCCACATGGAGGGGGGTCTTGCCTTCAGCCTCACGCAGGTTGGGGTCAGCTTGACGGGAGACCAGGAGCCGGGCCACATTCTCGAAGTTGTTCTGAACAGCTAAGTGCAGTGGGGTCCACCCCTCCTGCTCCTGGGCATCTGCATAGGCCCCATGATCCAGGAGCAGGCGGGCAGTCCGGTCATCCCCGTTCTGAGCTGCAAAGTGCAGTGGGGCCCAGCCGTCCTCATCTGCCAGGTTGGTGTCTGCACCATGCTCCAGGAGCAGGGCACAGAGATCAGGCTGCTGGTCTTGCGTGGCAATGAGGAGAGGTGTATAACCACTGGCGGTCTGGCAGTCCACATCTACCTCATGGGCCAGCAGCAGCTTCACCAGTTCCACGCTACCCTGCGCCACCAGGAGGTGAAGTGGGGTGACCTTGTTCTTGTAGATGTGCTGCCCCTTATTGCTGGAGACCAAGCTCTCACTGTCTGACAGCTGCAGGACCCGCTTCAAGTAGTCTCCTAAGTCTGATAAGGGGAAGATGAGGCTGAAAATAGAATCTGTCCCCTGCCCAGAGGTCATGTTGGTCATCCCCCTGCATCCTGGAAACAGCACCCAGGAGATGCCTTTGCTAATATTACAGGCCTCCTGGGTGGCACAGTTTGCTCTTAGTTTGTAAGCAAAAGGTTGGCAGTTTGAATCCTTTCAGTGGCACCACAGAAACATCTGTCAATCTGCTTCCATAAAGACTACAGCCAAGAAAACCTTATGGGGCAGTTCTGCTTTCTAGTACATGGGATCACCGTGAGTCAGAATGGATTCAACAGTACCCAACAACAACACACTGTTATTGCTGTTACAATTACAGTGCAGGCACTGCTCCATTATCATAGAGAACTAAGAAAGAGAGAAGCAGAAAGAGCAGAGTTAGGAAACATGAGTTCAAATCCTGAATCCACCATGTAGCATCACATGACCTTAGCCAATAATCTGCCTCTCTGAGCCTCATGCGGCCACTGTGAGGACAAGTTATGTAGGTAAAAATTTTCAAAGGCGTGCCTGGCACAAAGGAGTTGAATACATGTTGAAAATAAATTTGTGGATGGACCTCTATGATCTGAACTCCTCCTGAGGCCATTAAGGGCCTACTTCCTTCTGCTCTAAGGAGCTCTGGTGGCACAGCGGGTAAGGCATTTGGATGCTATCCAGAAAGTCCATGGTTCAAACCCACCAACTGCTCCAGAGGAAGATGAGGCAATCTATTTCTGTAAAAGATTTACAGCCTTGGAAACCCAGTGGCTGCTCCTATGAATAGGAATCAACTTGATGGCAGTAGGTTTTCCTTCTACTCTAAACAACAGCATTGGGAAAAAAAAAAAAAAAAAAAAACAGTTGCCATCCAGTCAGCCTGACCTGTGACGATTCCATGTGCACCAAAGCAGAACTATGATCTACAGGATTTTCAATGACTGAAAGTAGAATGGGAAGTAGATTACCAGGCTTTTCTTCCAAGGTGCCTCTGGGTGGATTTGAACCCTCAATCTTTCACTTAGTAGCTGAGCATGGTAACTGCACCACTCAGGGACTCTACCTAATAACATTAGGATTTTTAAAAACACTGCCCAAGTCCCATCCCCTGCAGTTCTGATTTAATTAGTCTGGGAGAGGGCTCAGGCATCCGTATTTTTTTTTTTTTTTTAAGTCCCCAAGTGATTTTAACATGAAGCCAGTGTTGAGAACCACTGCTCCAGCTCTCAGGCCAGGGAGGAAGATGCCTGGCCTTGTGAAAACGCAGATCTGAATGGAGAACAGAACCAGGACCCCTCGGGGCAGGTGCTGTTCTGGAATATGGAGTGGGGTGCCAGGGAAAGGCACTCACCACCCCTGAATCATGACAGGTCTGAGGAGGAGGGCCACAGCCTGGGGAAGATGAGGAAAGAGTCTGGGTGGACTCTTCTTTTTCCTCCACTGTAAGTTCTCTGGTTCCACAGGGTGCCCTAGACTCACCACTGTCCATTAGCTCCTCCCTGTCTTCCTCACTGACCTGCAGAGGGACCAGAAGACAAAAGAGTGGATCAGCAGTGCAGCTTGGGTCCGCACCATCCTTCCCTCCCACCCTCTCTCCAGTGCTCCCCTTCACTTTCACTTGTCGAGACTCCATCCTACCCAGTCCTAATGGACCATCCTCCTATGCCCTCCCTCCACCAGTTAGGTATAGAGGATAAGACGGAGCAGGGAATACCTGCCAGAGAAAGGTGATAAAGGGCCGTGCCTTCCCCTTGGGCTGAATGGAAAGCAGGGTGAATCTATGGGTTCAGCTGGGAGCACAAGACCCCATAGCTAGTTCTTCAAGTATGTGTCCAGACAGAGGAGCAAACTGATAATGTTGATGCTCAATGGGCTTGAAAGCTTGAAAGAGTGGATGTCTCCTTTGCAGGCTAGTTCTCTGTTTACTTTCACCCATTTGAGAGAAGGCATGTCCTTCTCATGGACTCTGAGCCAGGGCCGCTACTCACCCAGACAGCACTTTTATCCCCCTCTGGATTGCCACAGTCCCAGAATGGGCTGCCTGCTCTGGTGAGTACAGTGTGGCCAAATGCAGCCCTGCCTATGCCTTCAGCTAAGCAGTCTTGGGAAGGACATACCTGAGTGTCCACATGCAGGGCCCTGCCAGAGCCCATGACAGAGGGGGTGGCCCACAGCATTTACCTCTGGGGGCTGGCGTAGTGAAGGCTTGTAGGACACCTTCCTGGCCAGGGTCTCGCTCTCCGGATCTTCAACGGTACTCTGGAGCAGGGACAACAGCATGTCTGTCTCCACTGTGATGTCTGGTCCATGTGGGAGGGCGGACAGGAAGCAGCAGGCTGCTCAGCCATCCCTGCTCTGTTCTAGATACTCCAACATTCCTCATGTCCCCTAAAATGCATTTCTGGGCTCATCTACATTCACACATGTGCATAAGGAAGCAGGGGAGCTGGGTCCCAGCTTTGGCAAGCCATTGACCCTCTCTGGGGATCAGCGTCCTTTTCAAATGAAGGGACAGAACAAGTGGCTGTCTAAGATGCTCACACTTACACATATGTGTGTTCTCATAGTCTCTGAAGGACTGTAAGCTTCACAAGCCATTGCACGCTTGTGATCCTTTGTTCTGAGGACCCTGACCTCCCAGACCAAGACCGGACCTGACCCCCACATTGCAGGCCTAGTTAAAGACTGAATTTCATCTTTCCCAGGTGGTCCATGTTTCCTGACGGTCCAATTTGTTGGCCTCTAGATGGCAGGAACAGGGATGGGAGAAGGAAGGGAAGGAATACTTTGCAAGGCAACAGAGTTCAAGCCAAAGAGCATGAGGGTCTGGGCTTTTCTCTTTCCTTTTACTTTTAATGTGAGCTCTAGAAAATAGGGGAGGGAGGGAGAAGGGTAAGGATAGGAGCCCCCAGTACAAATCTGCCCCTTATTCCACCCTCACTAACCCTGTAGGACTGGAGACCTCAGAAGCAGAGCCAGGACTGGATACCACAGCTTCTGACTTCCAGCAATGAGGGTTTTCTCCTCTGCCACCCACAGATGCACACACTTACACACTCAGACTCAGACCTCATTTTTAGCTGCTGTGGCTCCCAATGCCATCCTCCCCACACTGTGATGCTGATTCTACCTGAATAAATGACTTGGGCCCCAGTGCCGTAGACCTCTCTTTGCACAGCTCTGAGTGGCCTCAGACTTCTCAGTATCTCCTCTCATGGTCTTCTCCTGTCCCGGCCTGCCCAGAACCCTCACTCCCTTGGGCTGGAGAGGCCCAATGAGAACCTGAGAAGCATGGCCTCTTCTTGGGATCCTGTTCCCAACAGCGCTTCATCAGATCCACCATCTGGTGGACCTCACCTGGCCATTCATCTGAGATGGGCTGTAGGGAAGGCCGCATGCCCATGGCCACTTGGACGATGATGGTCATCATGTTGAAGCCTGCAGGAAGAGGCCTAGGCTGTGTGGGTACTGCAAGGCAGGGCCAAAGGACTGGGGTTGGGGTAGCTGAGGAGCCCTATAGTGTGGTGCATACAGTAGGGACTGCATTAGTGCTTGGTGAGTAAACTGTTAAGATGTAGGCAGACTTGAGGTTCAGGTTTGAGCAGCTAAGTATCTCTAGTCCAGGGGCAGCTGCCTCCCAGGCCAAGACTGGACCTGACCCCCCAACTGCAGGCCTAGTTAAAGGCTTTGACTTTCAACTTTGACGGATTGTCTGTTTCCTGACAGTCACACTTGTTAGCATCTAGGTGGCAGGGGTAGGGGTGGGAGAAGGTAGGATTGCAAGACAAGAGAGTTTGAGCCAGAAAGCATGAAGGTCTTGGCTGATTTTTCTCTTTCCTTTTACTTTTAATGTGAGCTCTAGAAAATAGGGAGTGGAAGAGAGGGAAAGGAGGATGTTGTTGTTGTTGTTGTGTGCCGTCGAGTTGGCCCCAACTCATACCGACCCCTCCTTGGGTTTCCGAGGTGGTATCACTACAGAAGTAGGATTGCCCAACCTTCCTTCTGAGGAGTGGCTGGTGGGTATAAACCGCCAGCCTTCTGGTTAGCAGTCAAGTACCTTAGGCACTATGCTACCAGAACTCCTGGAGAGGAGGATAGGAATCCCTAATACAAACCCTACCCAGAGGATGCCCACCCCTGCCTCCAGACACAGCACCTGCTACCTGAATATGTTTTCTTCTGAGTGAGGATCTCCCAGATGACAATCGCGAAGCTGTGGGTAGGGACAGTGCACCCTGAGTGCCTTTTCTCAAATGTCCATGGCACCCCAGCCAAGGGGGGGGGGGCAACAGACCAGCTAATCCCAGACAAAGCTTCTCCAGCCCGAGTCCCCCATCCTGCCCCCCACCCCTGTGGCCAGGGATGGGCTGACTTCAGAGCCACCAGACCACATCCCTGCCCTGTAAGGTGGTCACAATGAGCTGCCTCCTGGATAGGAACAATCCCAGCCACCCTCTCACCTGTACACATCATATTTGGGCCCTGGGGCCTTGTTACTCTCCAGAAACATCTCAGGAGGGATGTAGCTGAGGGTGCCCCGCAGAGCTGACCTCTCAATGTACTGCATCTGGGTCGACTGCTCCATCCACTTGGACAGGCCAAAGTCAGAAATCTGGGAGGAAGCCAGAGATGGAGAATAGGGAGGCAATTGAGTCTTATCTCCAGAAAACTGCTTAAGTCTCTCACTCCTTCCACTAGCTACCTTTTCCAGTACAGGGCAGTGGTTCAGCATAGGCTCTTAATCCAGTGGCTCCACCACTTAAAACCTACACATTTGCAGACAAGTTACTTAGCTCCTCAGAGCCTTGGTTTCCTCATCTGTAAAATGGAAATGATGGGAGGCGGGGCAAGATGGCGGACTAGGCAGAAGGATTGCACAGACCCTCTTCAACAAAGAAAAGGGAAACCAATTAACACAGACACAGA